CCACGTAAAAAAGAAAAGATGCATAATCTAGAGCTTGAGAAGAAAATTGTCAGTTGAACCAAAATAGTGAAACAATGAACATGCAAATGAGAAAAACAAAGCAGTTTCTCTCAGTCACACACTGTTACCTAGAAGAAATTATAATGAATTAATGTTTTTGGCTGTAATAAAAATAAAAACTTGTTATTCCTTCTCTTTTCTTTTTATGTGAGTGCACTTTTGTATTATATACTATTTCAATTATCTGTTGTTAAACAGCCTTATTGAGTATTAATTTCATGGCTGGTATCTTTGGTTAAATATTTAGTTTTGATTATTAGAGGTATAATTTTGAGCTTAAGCAATGGAAAATTACTCTTGAATAAAACTATTGCAGTGTCATATACAGAAACTTGAGTAAGTTGATTAAAGTGATGTTGAATATGCAAATCAGCAAGTTATATGACAACCATAGCTAGCATAAACTTATAGTGGAAAAGCATGTATCAGAACTATATTTTGATGTTTGGCATTTCCTAAATAGTATGATGCCACTAACTATTGATTGCTTTTGGTACATAACAAACCTTTCCAATGCAAATTATTCATACACTCGAATCATAAAGATGCGCTTAGATCAGGGATTTAGGATTTACAAGACTTTATAACATTGGGGAAAAAAAGTATAGATCAACCACTAGGACCATCTACAAAGAGACCTGCAATGAGTTGTGTCCCAGTTGTGGTAAGTAAAATGCAGTGTCATGTAACACGTGAGAATCCATGAAAACAAAGATTAGTGGTAAAGGCCATCTGTGTGCCCCAGGCAAAAGTAAGCAACAAAAAAAGTAGAATATCCATATGAAGAAATAGCACAACTCACTAAACACAAGTTGCTTCCACAACAAATCCATTCAGTCATTGCATACATGAAGCAGCTTGAGAATGCAATGGATATTCATGCTATTTCATTTGAAAACAAATTAGTCTAGTTGCTGGATGCAACACCTGAGTGATTTCACTGTTGAAATGGAGGCTGAGAAACCATAATTTTCGTACACTAGATGGCTTATAGAAAGCATGAAGTGAGGAGGTTGTGTGTTTTGAAAATAACCTTATGATGGAGCCCTTTGTAGTGGAAAATACACAACTGGGCTATTGTCATGAAGTACACCCATCAGGTAGAGTACAACAAGATATGGTGAAATGGACTGTAACTCAACATTTTCCTCCAATTTTTTTGCAGTTGTATTTGTTCATCCAGTATCTATGTGGTAATTCAAACTGCTACATAAATAAAGGATCTGTTACTTATGTTCTAGACATAATTATTCCAAAGTTATAAATTTTGTATTAAACAAAATAGTTTTTTACAATTTGAACATAATTTTATGAAATTTGACTCACTTATGAATAACGTTCAAATACATATAATTTTTTGTGTATATATATGCATAAATGAGTATTGTTATGAATATTAACTGAATAGCTGAGACTTTACAAAAGAAATTATTTGGCATAATCAGATAACTGGCATTAGCATAAAGTTATATTTAAGGTGTTTCGCATATATTATTTTTAAAATAGTATTGTTTACTTTCACAGTAGCTCTATGTAATTTTAACTTCAAATACCTAAAAAAAAATTAAGTGATAATCAAGAGAAAACAAAAATTCCCTTTAGTAATGAAAAACAAGCTTATGATATCCAATGAGAAAGTATCAGGATGTACTTATACGAAAGTGAAAATAATTTTTCTTGTACTTTGAAAAAATCATGTATTTTGCTGAGTTATTGGTCTTCTGTTTCTATCAACAAGAAGTACCATTGAGTATTGATTGTTTTTCCAGATCAATTATAATTTTCAGGATATCTACCAACTGTAATATTGTTGATATAGCTATGTTACAAAATTAGCTTCATTAAAAATTAAGGTACACAACTGCAAGTATGGAATATTTTAATTTATTATTATTATTATATCTAATTACGTTTGAAGTTTCTTTCTTGTCTTGTATAAATATGCAAATTATTTATTTTATCAATTTGTTTGCTGCATTAATATGTGTGTTAATTTGATGTACGTATATATATATATATGTCATTTTTGCTGTAGTTGAAGGCATTTTAAATATTTTTTTATAATTCAGCATATGGGTATTATTTGTTTAGAAGGAAAATCTTCTCAACAAAGATGAACATACACCTATTATAGCACAACCTACAAGAAATCAACAAGTTCCTATTCCAATTCAAACAATGCCTTCTGCTGATGAAATTGATGTTCTGAACTCATCACTTTGCAGCACTGAAGAACTGAAGATTTTAATTTCTTTTGAAAATCAAGATGGACATTTAAATGATGAGAAAATTTCGATTAATGTGGGTAATAATCCACCATAACTTATATGGATTCTAACCTGTTACATATTACAGAAATTGGACTTCAAAAATAGAAAAACTAGTGTAAGAAGTAGCACAAATATTGGTTACTTTGCTCTTACTTTATAATTAAGCTGTGTCTCTTATTTTGTTTCTGTTGTTTAGATGCAATTACGATTTCGTCAAGTTTTTAATTTTTTTATTGTCATGTTTTATATATCAAAGTCAGTAAGGCTTAAATTATGATTTTCTTCAATATTTTAAGCAAACTGTCCAAATAAAGTCATAAGTTAATATGTGAACTTGTCAGATAAAAAAAAAGGTTATTGAGAAACAAGAATTGGCATTACTATAACATTTGTGTTTTTGTAGATTTTTTTAAGTTGCTTCTTAGTCTGCTAGATGGGTTATCCAAAAAACGAATGAAAATCTGAAATTGTGAAACAGCAATAATACTGTGATATAAGGTGCCCAAAAATTGGAAAAGTTGTAAATATAACTGTTCGGAGGTTAATATATTTTATAGTTTCATTAATTAAATATATGTTTGTATGTAAATTATTTCAATTGAACATTAATAAATTTTAATAAGAGATGTGATTATCGAGAGCAGTTCACTATGTATGTAGCAGTTTATCAGTTCTTGGGTTGTACCAAACAGGCCATTATTAATCAGTAAGAGATGTGATTATCGAAAGCAGTTCACTATATATGTAGCAGTTTATCAGTTCTCGGGTTGTACCAAGCAGGCCATTATTAATCAGTAAGAGATGTGATTATCGAAAGCAGTTCACTATGTATGTAGCAGTTTATCAGTTCTCGGGTTGTACCAAACAGGCCATTATTAATCAGTAAGAGATGTGATTATCGAAAGCAGTTCACTATGTATGTAGCAGTTTATCAGTTCTCGGGTTGTGCCAAACAGACCATTATTAATCAGTAAGAGATGTGATTATCGAAAGCAGTTCACTATGTATGTAGCAGTTTATCAGTTCTCGGGTTGTACCAAACAGGCCATTATTAATCAGTGAATCTCTCCTTGTTTGGCAGCATGAATTTAGTAAGTCATATATCAATGCCTAAGACATAAAAACCTTTCAGTTATAATGCAGTTCAGGAGTTGTGTTTTAAAGTACTTGAGCTGGTCACTGGTAAACTCATGAACTTACAGTGTCAAAATCTGGGATTTGATTTCCTGTAGTGGACCGAACACATATAGCCCCATTTGTAGCTTTGAACTAATTAAAAGAAAAGCATTTGGATGGTTATATTTCCCACATAATTTCAAGTATGTCTTCATATTTTTTTTTTTTTGCTTAACTATAATTGTTTTGCTTCCTACTCTATGAAAGAACAATAAATTACTGGCTTCCAGCAGAATGTTATAACACTACACAATATAGGATAATATGTATACTGATATTGTTAATAATGCTTGGACACAGCTTGAATAGGTAATGAAGAAAAACTTTAAGTTTAACATAACAGCACCTGATGATGACAAAACCTTGTTGAAACATTGTACATTTGCTGTTAAGTTAAACTTATATTAAGGTTTTTCTTCATTACCCATTCAAGCCATCTCCAAACGTTATTAGTCTCAAAGTGGGCTCCTCGTCATCGAATTCAGACTATATCATTAATTTACTTATTTCTAAGAAACATCTGGATCTTCAGACAGTTATAAAAGTTTTTTGTACTCAAACATAAAAGCCCAAGTAATTTGGCCCAAATTATGAAAGAAATATTTAAAATTATTTAAATGATTGAAACATACAAACAATTTTAAGTATTCATGATGTTAGGAAAACATGCAAGTTCAAGAAGTCAATTTAACACAAAAGATATGAAACCCTATAACCTGAGTGCTTTTGGATGGTGGACCTTTTTTTTGTGTGTGGTTATCTAAACAATAGTTTTACAATAAATATAAATAAGGATTGATATATATATGAGATCTTTAATGACTTCTAATTTTGCATAGTTTAGCTCAAACAATCAGTCAATATTTTAAATGAAACATCAGACAAAAGCAAAGTCAATATAACAAATGAAAGATTTGGAATATTATACATTTTCCGTTTTCTTCATTGTCTTAGATTGATAACTTGAAATTTAAAGGTTAATCAATCAGTCACTTTCTACAAATTTGCACAAGTTCTTGACTTACATGGTGTAAACTATGTAAAAGTATATATTAAGGTGAGGATAATACTTGAATCGTTCACATCAAAGTATCTTTGATTTTCTTTGTTAACGTTTCTGACAATTGTTTTAGCAATGACTGGAAAGTGAGTATCGTGATTACCAAAACTGTTTATTTGTAAGTAATGTGTGCCTTAACAAGTGACTAATTATCAATATATATTATTTTCTTGTAATAAAACATTGTGATAAAGATTGCATATATTAAACAATCATGTCTTGTATTAGTACCATTCCAACTTGATGATCTTATATCTTAAGTTTATATAAGAGAGAAACTTTTATAGTTTTGAGATGCATTGTAAGGTAAAACTTTATCAACAAGTGGCAGTTACTTATAACAGGAAAGATGGACTTTCTTACATTAATTTTTGTTGGTTGAATATTACTTTCATTTATAACACTGAAAAATGTCAAAATAATTCTAATAATAGTGCACATTTAATGAAAGTACACATTGCATCAGAGTAAACATTAGAATTCATGAGATTAACATTTTAGATTGTGTTAAATTAACGTTTTCACTTTGTAGTTAATTGGGTGACCTACGTTTATTGCCATTCACTGTAGAAGCAGGAATTGTTTTTGTGAACTTCTTGATGAAACCTTTTTTATGTTCAAGCCGAGAAAGTTGACACCTTTATCATGCTTCAATTTCCAAACCTGTGCACTTTATCAAGTTCACAGTCATCTATATACTCCAATATTGTGTTTAGTTTGGATAAGAGAACTTGGATACTTAGCTTGAATGATCCTTGTGCAGTCCTAAATAATCAGCAAAATACTAACTGGCACTCTGTTTTCATGATGTTTAGGTATAAAATCAAATATCAATATATTGTTACGTCTCTGCTCGTTTGATAATTTCGGTAGAAATTCTTCCCGAGAAACTTCAGCGATACAAGTCCGCGGCGAGAAGTCGAGTGGTAATCCGTCGATGATTAACGGCGGCGTAGGGTACGAGACAAACTGCATACTGGTGTGTATCAGGGTCGGTAGCTAGCCAATCACCATGCCAATTAATTGTCTGGCGCACTTATATACAAGAATAAAGGGCGCCTAGAAAATACTGGATTATTCATGATGTTCCCCGATCTTTCTAGTACGCATTAAGTGTTACCAGTGTCACGTGACTTCCGCTGTCGTAACAATATATATTATTATATTAATCTGACTTGTATATACATATGTGTGTGTGTTTTCATTTGATTTTTTTAGAACCTGATTAAATACCTGAAATACATATGATGTTCTCCGATCTTTCTAGCACGCATTAAGTGTTACCAGTGTCACGTGACTTCCGCTGTCGTAACAATATATATTATTATATTAATCTGACTTGTATATACATATGTGTGTGTGTTTTCATTTGATTTTTTTAGAACCTGATTAAATACCTGAAATTTAAGAGAATATTACCAATTACGTAAATCTATCCATTTAGTCTGATTAGTACATTGTTATGCTCCCAAGTGGCACAACGGTATGTCTGCGGACTTACAACGCTAGAAACCGGGTTTTCGATACCTATTGTCATTAGAGCACAGATAGTCCATTGGGTAACCTTATGCTTAACTACAACAAAAATCCATTGTTATATTAATTTTCTTGTCTTGTAATGCTTTTCAGTTGATTTGAGTCAGTACTAAACTTTTAGTGCAAAACAGAAAATAATTGAACTATTTATTTAATTTTTACATCATTTAACTTTGTTATACTTCTTGCTTTGGCAAACCTTTCAGTCGATTTTTTCGATATGAAACTTTTAGTGAAAAAAAAAGGCAAATATGAATCATGTTTATATATATTGACTGCACTTGTGTATATTAAAAGTATACATTTAAATAGTTTATTCTTGCATGGTATTGTTATATTTTGTTTAAAGTTTTTTTTTTGTTGTTGTTGTTGAATGTATTTAATGGAACAATCTTACTTCTCAACTTTATTTTCGGTGCCGGGAGAAATGTTATCACCAAAATTACGGACGATTTATAGAAATTTGATTTTGGTCCTTGCTCAATGTTATTTTGCTTGGATCATGTTTAATTCCATCTCTTAACTGCAACTATTACCTTTTAATTATTTTCACAACACTAAAGTCTGAAGTTCCATTCCTCGCGGTGGACAGAGCTGGTAGTCAGTTGTGCAACTTTACGCTAAAACAGCAATCAAAACATTATTTTTATCAAAAGATGCAATGGTATATTTTTATTACTCTATAGAGGTGAAAGGTTGTCTGATTTTGGGACGTAAAAATATATTTTACGCGGGACGAGAATATTTTTTCTGTGCATATCAACAGATCAATTTGTTTTCACACATCTATGTAAAAATAAGGGTAAATGTATTATTGTCAAATATTCCACGATTCTTGTAATAAAATGTCTGTAAATATAAAATATGTTTATATTAATATTGTTACGTATCTGCTCGTTTGTTAATTTTCGGTATAAATTCTTTCCGAGGAACTTCAGCGATACAAG